GCCGGATCGGGCCTGATTCGCGGGCCCGGTCTGGCTCACAAAAAAGGTCCCAAACCCCTAAAAAAATAAATGAACTAAGCCCAGCTCAAATCCTATTTTCTAATCCAGCCCAGCCCACTAGACAAAGAAAAAGCGATTTTTTTAGGAAACCGGGTCGGGTTCATCGCCCAACCCGGATCCGACCCGGATTTCCCCAGCCGCAGACCCGACTCCTCTTCCTCCTCACCCGCGACGCCCTGCCTTCGCGGCCTGGCCCTACCGCTCGCGGCGTTTCACCTGCCGCGGCCGCACGCCGACGCCTAAAACCCAAGCCACCGTCGCCTCGCCGCCTTGCCGCCGTGAACCTAACCCGGCGCCGCTCCTCCGCCCGTGTTGCCGCCGGCTTGACGACCGCCAACGCCGGGCCTGACGACTCTGCTCCGCAGCTGACCCGACCAGACCCCCAGCGACGCTCTGGCTTTCGCCGCTCGGTGTCGCTTTGGCCCGAGTCTGGCCAGCGACGGACTCGATTCCGACCAGACCCCACGCCTGGCCCCGCTCCGACTAAGCTCACGCTCCGCGACCCAGCTCCTGCGACGCTCCAGCTTTCTGCAGACCCGACTTTGGCCTCTGTTCCGCGCCCTCTGCTCCGCACTTTGTCGGAAACGGCCGAGACACCTGCGCCGGCGTCGCCTTGATCGTTGTTCGGCCATGCCCGGGGCCGCAGCGAGCCATGGCTGACCACCACGGTCACCGCAGATGCCCCGCCTTCAGATCTGAATCAAGCATTTTATCAAACACCCAGCGGGCGTCGACCGGACAAGCAAGACATGGCCGATTAGGGCTCAAATTGATGCCGACAAATAACACGGTGTTCGCTCGTTTTACGACGAGGAATATCTTTCACCGAAACTTTGATTTCGATTTTTATTAAGATAGGTTCTGTAGCTTGATTTCTAGGAGAGTCGTGGCTAAGAAGGAAACAAAGTGGGCACAAGGTTATATGGAACGGATATAATTCGAATGGATTGAAAATAGATCTGAGATTAACAGAGTTCCAAGCTAAGTTACAATACTCCTATGAAAGCTGTAAAGGACTTGAAAGCTAACTAAAGTTGCAGGAAGCTGTAAATGCAGGAAGTAAATGTATAGAAGAAACTAAAGTGCAGATAAACTTGGGTGTTTTTGCATTGTTCTTGATTTCCTTCATCTTTCTTTCTTCTGAGTATTTGTATCTCCTCATATCCTGTAACTGTTTGTCAGTTACTTCTATGTTTTCAAACTTTGAATCTTGGCGCTTCCAATAACTGCCTTATCTAACCACGTTTTCCAAATTCATTGTTCGCCAAAACTTGATCTCAACCGCTGGGACGACTTCAAATTTGGACAAGCAACTCCCTACAATCTACTCGTGCTCACTATCTCCGCTTTTTACTCGTAACTTCCTGCTATCATGATTTACGTGGCTGGGCCGTGATTCATCTTTATCGATTTTCTGTAATTTCAGTATATTCCCGAAGTGTAGACTTCCCGAATTTCGGCAAAAGAGTCAATGTCCCAAGGCATAATGGCTCCAACGCTTTTTTTTTTTTTAACTCCCGAACTATGACTTTCCATGTTTCGGTAAATATACCGATCTTCACCAATCACCGAATTCGGGATATGATGCCATTCACGCTTGCTTCCCAGCATGTTTCCGAATTTTATCCAAACGTATTTCGGAAGATGGCTGATTTCCATTATACACCAGATTCGGCATTAAAGCCGACTCAGCGTCTATGCCGATTCTTATTTTGGTGTCAACACATGGACAAAGCAAAGACGCGCCAAGGTGACTGAGGAAGGCCCGCCGACGCTCGAAACAGAGTGCAAGCGAGCGTCGGCGAGTCTCGGCCCCGTTCAGCCGAGACAAGGAAAAACAGGGCAGTGACAGGGGACTCGCGGCAACGGCTTGGAGGCGAGGTTCGGTGGCTGTTGGTCATGGTGCAAGCGCAGCGGTCGCCGGAGGAGCTCCCTTTCTCTCTGTCTCACTCAGTCCGTTCTCTGTTCTCGCTCTCTCTCGTCTCATCTCTCTTGACTCTGTCTCCTCTCTCTCGGTTTCGCCCCCGGAAACCGAACTCTTCCCCCTCTTTTTTTAAGGTAGCCGGCGACCTATTCTGCTACGGCCGTCCTTACGCCTGCTCTGCCGCCTACTTTGCTCTGCTCTCCACTCCTGACCGCGCAAAAATCGCTTGGTTGTGCGCCGACCACCTCTGCGCTTGGCTGCCCATCGTCCACGCTTCCATCAATGGCGTGGAAGGAGGCCGGGCCAGGGAAAAGAAAAAAAAGGGGAAGGGTTGGGCCGGGCCGGGCCGGAAAGAAAAGAAAAGAAAAAGCGAAAGGGAAGGAGAAGAGAAGCCGGGCCGGGCCTTCCTCAGCCTGGTCTCCCGGTTTTTTTTTATAATAATTTTTAAATTTGATTCCCCTTTTTTTCTATTAATTAAATATGTACATATTGTCTATATGCCATGCAATTTTATGAAAATATTTTTGTTTTAGGAATTAAGGACATTAACCCCTAAATTTTGTGTAATTTATTTAGGTAATTAAAAATAGGTGTCAACACAGAATAATAAAAATAACCAACTTATCGATAGCAAGCAATCGACACAAAAATGTAACTGCTAGGTCATTATGTCTATTGCCGCTAATTTAGGATTTTATAGCTTCTTGTGGATAATGTTACTAGATAGTTGGATATCGTGTAAGTTCTTGTAATCACTACTAAGATTAGAAAGTTATTTTTTTATTCAAATTTAGTAATTATTGTATGTAAACTATCTATAGAGGGTTATAAATACCCCAAGTGATTCATTGTAAAAGACCTCGAATCAATCAAAAAGCTCAATGTTATTCTACAAATTTATCTTTTATCTTTACTTTCCTATATGGGAAAAGTACCAAAAAAGTCATAAATCTATAACATTTGTATCAATTCAATCCTAAACATTTCAATTACACCAATTTAATCTAACACTTTCACATTGGTATTAGTTGAGTCCATCTAGCCAATTTAGGTAAGAAATTGCTATCATTGAACGTGGCACGACAGGTGCTGACGTGGACATTTTTTTTTTTTAATTCTGATCATCACAGAGGTTGGCAACTAGCGGAGGGAAAAAAGAAAAAAGAGAAACGAAAGAAAATATGAAAAAAAAAAGGGAAAAGAGAAGAAAAAAAGAAAATAAAAATTAATAAAAAATTCGAAAGGCTTTTTAAAAATTATATAAAAAATATCTACATTAGTGTCAGGTGTGCTACATAAAACGGTCGGCGTCCACGGTGTGCTACATAAGACGGTTGGCATCCACGTTAGCAATTTTTAGGCCGGGCTCAATTGGTATCAATGTGAAAAGATTTAGAAAAACATTGATATAATTGAAAGATTTATAACTGAATTAGTATCAATGCAATATGTTTATGATTTTTTTTTATACTTTCTGGCAATGATTGTTCCTCGTATTGCACTTGAAAATTCCTTATCATTTACTTTCTTGTTGAAAATTATTCAAGGATCTTTCACAACTTTAGTTGATTCATATCGATATATCCATATTTTTTTAGGATATTTCATCTTTTTCTACGAAACAAATACAATTGTGCAAAAATGTTCTTATTAAATTGAAATGCCCCCATGGCGTTAAACTTTTTATTTGGAAAAACATGGTGTCGACATGAATCAATATCTATTGAACTGTCTTGGATACTATTGAACAACTGTGACGCCGGAGAGAATGTAGTAAAGTAGGAGGTATGACAAGTGAGAACTTAAATGGATAAGTCGCTTGTTACTCGTAAGTAATTAACCTAAGAGATAAAAGCAATAGTTGCCACTCGTGGGAATCTATCTAAGGAATAAGAGTAAAATAAGAAATCCTTCTCGTTCTCAAGCCAAAAGCTCAATTAAGTTTTGAATCAAATAGGACTTTTCTTTTATTCATCATAGCATGATTATAGGCAAAAGTACACCACAAGTGCCATAACTTGTGTACGGCGATCACTTTGGTGCCATAACTTTTTTTCGGATCACTTTAGTGCCAAGTCGGAGGAAAATAGATCACTTTAGTGACTCCGGCCAAAAAGTTGACGTTGCATTTATATTAAAAAAAAAATGGTCTCACTTGTACACGTAATTTCCACGTGGCTTTTTTTTCGAATTTTTTAATTTTTAGAAAAATAATATTAATTAAAAAAAAACAGAGGTTGCAGCAGCGGCGAGGGAGCCCTCGCCGCTGCTGCCTGGGTCGCCACCACCGCCGGGAAGGGCCGGCGGTGGTGGGCACAGTGGTCGGCGAGGCGAGGTCGGCCTCGCCCGCGAGGTCGGCCTCGCCCGCGAGGTCCCGCCTCGCCGTCGCCCGGGTCGCGACGGCGAGGTTCGGACCTCGCCGTCGCCTTCGCCGGGCGAGGCCGCGCCGCCGTCGTGACCCAGCGACGGCGAGGTCTAGCCTCGTCTTTCGCCGGGCGAGCCGCGCCGCCGTCGCGACCCAGGCGACGGCGAGATCCCGCCTCGCCCACCACCGCCGGCCCTTCCCGGCGGTGGTGGCGACCCAGGCAGCAGCGGCGAGGGAGCCCTCGCCGCTGCTTCAACATCTTTTTTTTTTAATTTTTTAATATAATATAATATAATTTTTTTAAAAAAAAGTACACGTCAGCGGCTAAACGGCGTCGTTTTTGTTTTTAACGCTGACTGGACCTCTCCGGCAAGCCGTGGACCTCTCCGGCGAGCCGTGTCAGCGCCACATCGGATTTCCGACAAGCCACGTCAGCATTGGCACTAAAGTGATCGTTTTTCAAAAAAGTTGGCACCAAAGTGATCCGAAAAAAAGTTATGGCACCAAAGTGATCGCCGTACACAAGTTATGGCACTTGTGGTGTACTTTTGCCCATGATTATATAGATGAACATGAAACAACCCTTCAAGCATGAGTAATTATCAAGGCTCTTTAAAAAGACAAAAGACTCATAGGAAAGATAAAACTATCTTTACTAGAAAACAACTATAATTAAAAAAGGACTCTAAAAACTTGAATGACATTTACTAAATCTTGAAAATATGAGAAATAAATTAAGTCGATTGAGGATCTCTGCGGTTTACTAGTTCCAAAGATTGAATTAATGACCTTCATGCTTTAAAGGACCCAAACAACCTTCGGCACGACGTGATCGATAAGTAGACTTGGAATCGACTATCAACTTGCCAGTCGGTAATTCTCTTGCATAATCGGCATCTTGAAGGAATACTCCGCATCAAATTGGATCGATATCAACTGAAACTGTATTGAACTAAAATGCCCACATCAGCGCTTAATCTCACTATATCCTTCTTCAGAGCCTCGGGAGACACGAATATCGAATGGGTAAGCATCAGAAGAAAGCAAGGCTCTGTAACCAATTACAGCAACTTCCATATGCACTGTCTCTGTAGGGTGGAATCCGTCGTAGTACGAGTGCATCGACCTGTTTGGGCATGGAGTTCTGAAGGGAATGCACTGATAATCCTCCTTAACCTCACAACAGGTTGAACTCGAAACTGGGACAGCTGAAAATCAGACAAACGCAATCAATTCCGTCTTTTAAGTAATGATAACAAAAAGTAATGAAGTAAAGGGGAGACAAGATGACTTTTTGAGCAGATCGGACCACACCCACATTCTTCCTAGGATGTAAACCATTGAGATTATGCCACAACATATTCATACATCACTTGATATGCCTACTCCTTTTTCCATTTTGTAAACCAATCATTGATATGTTCCTAGCATTGCTCGAAAAATTTTGTCTCAATACAAGATTGTTAGAGAGAGAAGAGAGAGAGAGAGAGAGGAACATAGATACCTGGAACTGCAGTTGTGGAGATTCCGTAAGTGTTTGCGTAGACGAACTTAGCACCGGTGAGCTCGCAATTCAATTCATTTATAAGGGGTTTGAGCCTGTCGTCGAATAGCACAACCTCATTGTCAATCTTGTCGACGCACTGAGATCCGTTGGTCCCAAATTCTGATATTTCTGCTGGGGTGCAACCTATCTCACTTAGTCCAAAAATTGCCAACCTCCTTGCTCCGTAGGAATACAATGTCTGGTGTTTGAAAAGGGTACGTAATAGAAAAAATCAGATCCATTGAAACTGTGGATGTTCCAAGTGATAAACAAGTGGAACTGATTAAAAAAAAAAAGAAAATAGATGCTAATTTACCTCGGAATGGAAGCTATCCAATGCGTATTACGATAAAATATTTACCTTCAACTGTTGTTTGTATTGCTCGATCAGTACATCAGCGTATTGCACGGGCGTGTAGAGCTTGCTGGTTGGGTATATGTCTGGCATCAAGTAGTTGTTGATGTAATCGTTGCTTCCCATCCATATCGTGTATGCGCACTGGTTTAAGTATGTCGCAGCATCTGCTCCCAACATTTCTCTGATGCGCGAGATCATGACCAAATGGTTTTGCAACTGATGGTTCAAGCTAATGCGATCGCCCTATTTGAAGAGCATGTAAAAGATATCACCTTGAATATATGTAGAAATAACAGAGGCAGACCTAAGGGGGGCGGGTGTGGTCCATCCTAGCCGTCAAATTCTTAGCACCATCTTCATAAATGGTGTAGGTGTACTGTCTTTCTATGAAATTTTGTTGCAAAGTTTCTTAATCTTACTCCTGTGCCAAGGTTTTACAATTTCGTTTCAGCAAATTATTTCTGCTTGTGTCAAAATATTTGCTTCGCTTTTGTCTGTTGCTTGCATGCTTGAAACAAGGACAATTTATTGGCCACGAAACTTAACTACCACAAGAGTTCACCCAGGAGCTTCAAGATAATTGTATTTTAGAGAGAAATCTAGAAAAAAAATGGGAGGATAATTTAACAGATTGCAATTTATACCCAGAAACATTCGATCAATCCGGAGAAACTGCAATTCATTCTGCACAAACTGACATTGGTGCTAAGTATCTGCGTCTACAAATTTGTGTACCAGTTGTTGTCCCGTTTCATCTAGAATGCCCGCCCCGCCGGATGCATAATTCACACCGCGGAGTATGTCGCTGCCGTTTGCAGTAGCGAAGGGTGGAATGAATTCATCAAACCCCAGGAGTTCAGCTGTAACTCACAATTAACAGAAATAATGATTAAAAGAACATGAACAGCAAGCACATGAGCGTATGTTTCTGATAATTAGCTCTTAGATTCGAAGCACTGTGATTTCAACCAGAAAGCACATTGATGTTTTATTTTTTTTGGTCTAAATAAACAACTTCATTCATCAACGCAAACAATGCGCGCACAAAAGGTGAGTTGCAGAACACAAAATATCCAATTTTAGTACACCGTGCTTATCCAAGATTTGACGTAGCTATAAGGGTCGATGGAAAAAACGAAAGGTGAGAAAGCGGACCAATCATGTCTACGTAGGTGCGACCGTTGGTGAACCTTCCGGTCGCGCCATCGGGGAAGTCAATCCCATAGGGAGGATAATTTGCCTTGGCATCGGTCTCGAGATTGTTGTTGTTCCCGTTATCGGCGAGCGAGTCTCCGAATATGAAGTAACAAGGGACCTGAGGAGCTCCAACAGCCCCGCCTTCGAAATTGGATGAGATCAAGAAGAGAACAGATAGAATAGCTCTCCATGCCATTAAGCTGTAAGTGCTTGGTGACTGGTGATGAGCAGAAGAGAAAGCAAGAAGGGGAGCAGGAACACAGGCCAGGCCAGAGAAATGGAGTGATGGTGATTTATAACTAGCCAGGCCTGAGAAGAGTCAAATCAGTACCGGATCCTCTTGAGTACTATTCTCACATGCATGATGCAACACCGCGAATTGAGCAGGCCGTCCCTCTTGTTTAAAAAACTCGTGTGGAGATCAATTTTCACATGGAAGCCAGCTGAAGGTCAGAGGAGTGTGGTACATCAGTCAGTCAGTCGCTGGGGTCTGACTTCGTGCAGGCTTGTGTCTTGTCTTCTGCTTCTTAAGGACTCAGAATGAACTAGCTATTCAGCTACTAGTCTCCCCCTTTCTACTTTTTTCTATTCATTCAGGCAATTCACCCCCAATTCTGTATGAAGGAAAAAAGAATGGAAAGCCAATCTCAAAGGAGGAATTTCGTGAGGAGAAGTGAAGGGTATTAGTTTTGAGGTCCCGTTTGTTTTGTGAGAAATGGATGGCTTTGGAAATATATTTTCTAAACTTTAATCGTCGTCATCGCTTACAAAAATAAGTCAATGAGAAAAATAATTTCATTTATTGGCAACAACTCATGCCTAAATATTTTTGTTGATAATGAGAATATTCTCCGTTACCCTCTTTTCCTAAGAGATATAGATGATCGAAATTATGAAAAGCTTTTTTAAGTCATTCATTTCCGCGAAACAAATAAATTAAAAACAACTCATGCCAAAACATTTTTGTTGATAATGTGAATATCTTCCTTTACCTCTTTCCCTAAGAGATATAGACGATCAAAATTAGTAAATAACTCGAAAAATGAATGATTTAGAAATTTTTTTCTTAAAAACGATTGCTTGTATCTTAAAATATTTTTATATTGACAACAATTTATATTTAAGTATTATCGTAAATGATGAACATATTTTTCGTATATTCATTTTTGTAAACGATACATGTCATCGTTTCTAGAAAAATATTTTTCAAGTTATTAATTTTCCGTAAAAAAAAAATAAACTTAAATAATAGCTACATTTGTCTGAGGCCTAAAATATCTCTGTATACTTTCCTGCAAGTGGGACCCGACGGTCACTAATGAACACAAATCCCCATGTGGTAAGGGAAAGTGACATCGAGCCGAATACATGATACATTGAATGACAAATTAATTGAATTTGAATTCTTCAACCTACCCAACTAGAGGTGGCCACGGTTCAGAACCGACCGGTTCCGGTTCGGAACCGGTGGTTCCGGTTCGTGGCCAAGCGTGAACCGGAACCGGTTCCGGGCCGGTTCCTATTTTTTTTCTGTTTTTTTTCTTTTCCTTTTCCTTTTCTTCTTCCGCGGCCGGCCATAGCCGGGGCCGGCGCGGAGGTCGCCGGCCTCTAGGCGAGGCGGCCCTCGCCGGCGTCCGGCGAGGCCGGCCTCGTCTGGGGGCAGGCCGGCCTCGCCCGACGCCGCGAGGTCGAGCCTCGCCGTTGCGGGCGAGGCCGAGCCTTGCCGGCGTCGGGCGAGGCCGGCCTCGCCCGGCCCGGCGAGAGCCGACCTCGCCGCCGCGCGAGGTCGAGCCTCGCCGGTTGCGGCGAGGCCTCACCTCGCCTCGCCTCGCCGGCGTCGGGCAAGGCCGGCCTCGCCCGGCCCGGGCGAGGGCCGCCTCGCCCGCCGCGGCGACCCGCCAGCCGGCCGGCCATGGCCGGCGCGGAGGAAGAAAAAAAAATTAAAATATAAATTATAATTTTAAAAACAGAAACAAGGAAAAAAGACAAAAGAGAAAAAGGAAAAACAGAAAAGGAAAAGGAAAAGAAAAAGAAGAAAAACAGAAATGAAAATAAAAAAATTAAAAAAATACTATTCTTGTGATAGAACATTATTCAATATAAATTATGATTAAAATGTAAATTGTACTCAAATTTAGGGACAAAAAGACAAGAGAGAAAGAGAGGGCTTCAACTTAATAAATTATCATTAAGCACATTACAATTCGTTACAACGATCTTAAAAAAAAAGGAGTACAATATATATATCCTAAAATTATCCCAAAACCTAAGCATTCCGTGCGTAGGGGACCAGAGGTCACATATTGTCGGATTATATTTCGGTTTCCCTAAGCTCACGTGGGCGTACCCGGTATGAGAAACAAGAGTTCCCGAAATATTTGCCAACTCCAATAGTTCGTTTACCCTCAATCGTCACTACCCGTTCCAGTACCGGTAGTGGTAGCGGTAGTATCTCCGTCGTTAAAGAATTCGGATTCATTATTCCGATCTATCCCTTGTTGCCGGTATTGAGCCTTCGTCCAATCAGCAACACAAACTTGCATCTCCACTGATTCTGGATCTAATCTTGAACGATGTTCGTTCAAAATATTACCTCCGGCACTGAATGCTTGTTCGACCGCAACTGTGGAACAAGGGGTTGAAAAAATCTGTTTTGCAATAAGAGAAAGGATTGGGTATTGGCTTGCGTGCCTCTTCCACCAATCCAAAATAAAAAATCAGTATCACCTTCGACTTCGATAAACTCAAATAAAATGGTTAGATAACTCTCTAATTCAGAAATATTTCCTATTACTCCCTTTTGTTTTTTTTGTCTATGTAATAAAAGTTGGTACCCTCTACTAATTTTACCTGTACTATCATTTTGTATCTCCGTAGATTGAGAAGATCTAATATCACCTAAATTATATTTAGTATAAAATTCATTATATAATTCTATTACTACGTTTTTAACCTCACGTACTATGGTTGTAACATTTGTCACATCATAATGTAAACATTGATAATACGCACGCAAAAAATCAGTTAAGCCATCCAATTTGCAACGCGAATAAAAAACACAAGCAACTAAATAAATCATGGGAATTTCACTATAATAATGAAGCCATTTCATTTTCATTGCAATTATAGTATGTTGTAATTCAACATCATTTTCATATTCATCAAAAGTTCCGACAATATTAGTACACTCTACTAAAAATAAATGTGTAGTAGGATAATAAACACCAGACAAAGTATAAGTTGCATCATTAAAAACCTTTAAAAGATCTAAATTTTTTTGGCAAATATGCCACTCTTGTGGGTATAAATTAATCTCAGGTATATTATTAGAAATGAATGCACATAATAAATCTTTATATGCTAAAGATTCACTAAGCAAGTGGAAAGTAGAATTCCAACGAGTTGGAACATCTCTTGGAAATCTTTTTGGCTTTTTGTCATTATCTCTACAAAATCTACCCCATTCTTTCATTTTTTTGGGATGTTTCCATAAAAATTGAATCGCCGTTTTTATTGGTTGAAGAAAAATATCAAGAGTTTTCAAACCATCTTGTACACATAAATTTAAAACATGACAAGCACATCTAATGTGAAAAAATTTTCCGCCAAAAGCGGATTTACAAATATTTTTTAACTCGGAAATTGAAGCGGTATTTGCTGCGGCATTATCAAAACCAATTGAAAAAATTTTGTTAAGCAAATAATATTCTTCTAAAACTTGCCTAATTATTCTATAAATATTATTTGCCGTATGATGATCATCGAAAACTCTAAATGCAATAACTCTTTTTTGAATAGTCCACTCGTCATCTATCCAATGACATGTTATGCCCATGTAAGAATGATTTTGCCAATGATCACTCCAAATATCACTACCTATATGCACGCATCCATTAAATTGCATAAAAAAGTTTTGTAAATCATTTTTTCCATTTTTGTAAAGATGTTTAATTACTCGTTTAATTGAATTTCTAGGAACACGTTTTGCTTGTGGAGCACATGCTTTTTGTACAAATTCATTAAAACCAAATCTTTCTCCAAAATTAAATGCTAAATGCTCAACGGAAATAAATTTGCCTAATTCTTCCTTATAAGTTTTTTCATTAAAACGAAATAAAGGGGAAGTGTTAGGATTGACGTACCCGGAAATTTGTTGTTGCCCGATATCGATTCCCGTTTCGGTTGGATGTTTGCTCATAAGATGTCGTTTAAATGTTCCATATCCTTGTCCACCTGTATATTTATATATTTTTCCACAATATTTACAAATTATATCATACCTTTTTTGATCGATATCAAACCTTTCCATTTTCGTGAAGTGATTCCAAATGTCAGATGTAAATTCCCGTTCCGCTTCCTTTGTTGTAGATATTTCAGCAGGAGGATGAAAACTTTCTTGCGTCGGGACGCGCTCCACATCGTGAAAAATGTTGATTTCATCATCTTGAAAATCTGCATATTCACGAGGATCAAAAGAATGATGGGATTCCGTCACGATATTCTTACCTTTGCCAGTTGGCACTCGACTTCCACTTGCCATTTTTCGAATGAATTGAGAGAATTGAGCGGATTAATTGGGAGAATTAATAAAGAATTGCGTGGATTGAGAAAATTGAGATAATTTCAGAGAATTTGAGAGAATTTCGAGTATTGAGAAAATTTGAGACTTGAGAGAAGAGAATTTGAGAGAATTTGAGAGAATTGTGTGTGTATTGTGAGAATTTGAGAGAATTTATAGGAAAAAAATAGAAGAAAATTTAGAATTAAAAAAAATAAAACATAACCATTGCAAAATTGCAACGGTTATGTGTTTTTTTTTTTTTTATTAAAAAAATGCCCGTTGGGGCATAGCCGTTGCCCCAACGGGCCGCAAGGCGCAAGCCCGCAGCAGGGCCTGCACGTCTGCAGGCCCTGCTGCGGATAAATTTTTTTTTTTTTTTTTTTTTTTGGGTTTGGCCATTGGGCGTTGGCCCGTTGCATGGCAACGGCCTGCTGGCCTGCTGCAGGCCGTGCTGCAGCCTGCAGCTTTTTTTTTTTTTCGCAGAACTGGCCCGGAACCGGCGGTTCTGGGCCGGTTCAAATTTTTTTGGAACCGGAACCGGGACCGTATGCCACGGGCCGGTTCCGGTTCCGAACCGCGGGCCCGGTCAACGGGCCGGGCCCAGGTTTGACCGGGCCGGTTCCGGGCCAAAACCGGCCCGTGGCCACCTCTATACCCAACGACCGACAGACAATTGAGAATGCCCAAAACGTCTCCTTCAATCGCAACGGCAAATATCTTAAAACCACGAGGTTAGTTTTCAAGTCAATCAAATGGATAATTACACTAAAAATTCAAAAAATTGTCATAAAAATATAATTAAATCCTAAATCTTTTTTAAA